TAAAGCTGACTTATAAGATGTGAATAATGATATTATAATATCAGAGTTTATTAATCAATTATACTGAGCTTGTTAACCTGACTTCTCAGATCTATTTAAATAATCAATTCTCTGAGAAAAAGATTAATAAGATCTCTTCTAAGTAATTAATAATAGAATCTAAATAACATCATGACAGCTTCAGTATGAAGAAAGTAAAGAAGAATTTCAAGTATTCTGATTCTTTACTCACTGTGAAGAAATATTAAAAAAGATTTAATAAAGATCTCTATTTCAACTGTGAAGCTGATAATTATTATATCAGTGATTGTAAGAAGCTGAAGAAAAGAAGAAACTAAGAAGATATCTTCTTAAAGTTAACTTCTCTTCTGATAAATATATTCATAGAAGATAAAGAAGAGAAAGAAAAGAATTGATAATTCTCATATCTCTAAGTTCATATTATAATCACAATGCATACTCTGAATGAGAAGATATCAGTGAGATATCTACTTAACTCTGAGATGAATATCAACTTCATATTCTATTTCTTTTCTTTAACAAAGAATTAAAAGAAGATAGATTCATCAGATCATGTGAAATTTACAGATGAAATGAAATATCATCATTTTAACATAATTTAAGCAAAGTATGTGATCACAGACTTAGAAGAAATCTTTAAGAAGAGCAGTCTGCTTCTTCATATAGTTAATATTATAAATAAGAATGTCATTCTAGATCTTCTGTGATTAAGAGAAAACAATTCTCTCATTGACTGAGTCACTCAGATGTGATGATATTATCTCATTAATAAAGAGACAGTGATAGAGAAATCTGAAGAGTTTCATCAGAAGAATCTTAAGAAAAAGATTGAGTTAATATACTGTATAGCAGGTGATTGAGACTTAAGAATAGATGAAGAAGTCATCACTCTCACTGTAAAAATAGCAGCAGTATCTGTCATTGAAGATGAATATATATAACATCTCTTTACAGATTTTAAGAATGTCTTTTTAAAAAGAGAAGTAGTGAAGTTTTCTGATATCAAGATATAATATAAGATTTATCTTGAAGACAGTGTAACAGTATTATACAGATCTCTTTACAACTTGTCTGTAAAGAAATTGAATGTTCTGTGCAAATATCTTGAAGAAGTGCAATCAAAGAACTGAATATATTTATCAAAGAGTTTGACAGAGACATCTATACTCTTTATACTTAAGAAGAATGATAGACTACATCTATGTGTAGACTACAGAGGCCTCAATAAGATGACAGTTAAGAATCACTATTTATTACTATTGATTAATGAGATAATCAATTGATTATCTGAAGCAAAGATGTTCTCAAAGATTGATATACAGAATATCTATCATAGAATCAGAGTTAATGAAGATAATATTTGAAAAACAGCTTTTCATATCAAGTACAGCAATTTTGAATATCTTGTTTTATCTTTTAATCTTTGTAATACTTCAGTTATCTTTCAGATCTATATAAATGAGACACTGCAGAGCCTTGTCAACATCTTCTGTATAATATATCTGAATAACATTTTAATCTTCTTAAAATTAGAGAAAGAACATGATACTTATGTTTGAGAAGTATTGAGTTGCTTAAGACAGTATTAACTCTATGTAAATACTGAAAAATGCTCATTCTATATACAGAAGATTGATTTCTTAGATTATATTATTGAAGTGAATGACATTTCAATGAACAGAAGCTGAGTCTTCATTATTGAGAACTAGCTGATGCTGTGAATGTACTGTGAGATACAGGTATTTCTAGAATTTGCAAATTTCTACAGATAATTCATCTATACATATTCATAGATTACTGTCTCTCTTACAGATCTGTTAAAGAGAAGTGTGAAAGACAGGAAAATGAGACTGTTTATTCTCACTCAAAGCACTGCTCAGATGTTTGCAGAATTGAAACAAGCTTTCACAGATATTATAATACTGAATCACTTTAACTCTGATTTACTCAGTCAGTGTGAGACTGATATATCTGAGAATGAGATCTGTAAAATCTTTTCACAGTTGATACTGAAGATCTTTCAATGTTGAAAGAATCAGAGAATAATCACTTCTAAGAAAATAGATAATGAATTGTCTGTGAGAGAAGACTTTTTCACAAAGTCTATAAGACACTGTGAGTAAAGATCAGTGACTTTCTTCTTCAAGAAGTTATCACTTATACAGAGAAGATATGATACTCATGATCAGAAGATGTTAACAATTATTAAATTCTTTAAAATCTGGTAATATTATCTTCAGAATAGTAAGTACTCAGTACAAGTTCTCACTGATCATGCAAATCTATGTTATTTCTTGATAACAAAGAGCTTGACAGAATATCAAGTCAGATGAATGAAGCTGCTTTCAGAGTATGATTTCTATATCTGATACTGTTCAGGTCGACTTAATCTCACTGACATGCTGTCTAGACAGCCTGATTATAATATCATTAATACAGAGAAGAATTCTACAAAAGAATCTCTGTCATCACTGCAGAAGAAGCTGGCTACAGAGGATTGAGATTCTCTAAAGCTCAGAAACAGTGCTGAAGAGGCAGCTGCACAACCCAGTATAGAAGATGAAAGAGAACTCAGGTTCTCATGAGAGACTGACACTGAAGATTATAAGCTTCTCATATCACATCTTACAATCATTGAATTAATAAAGAATGAAATGATCTACAATCTTTCAACTTAACTACTTTTGAAATTCATTGAAGAGTTATAGAAGAGAGATATCTCTACTGCAGCTTAAATTCAAAAGTTAAAGAAGAAAGAATCTGATTTGAACTTGAAAGAGACAGACTCTGAGTGAGATAATACTGCTAAGAAATCAAGTTGCTGATAACTAGAAGAATGTGAACTTCTACTGCTGAATGATTCAGTCTTCATTTCTCATAGCAGAGCAGTGTGCTAGAAGTTATTAAGAATTCATTATAATGATTCTCATATAGAGCACTTCAGATTAGAGAAGACTGAGAAGCTTCTAAAATGTAAATATATTTAAGACAAGCTCTGAGCAGATGTCAAAGAGTATGTTAAAACTTGTAATATCTATCAAAGAATAAAGATTCTGCAGTATAAGTAATACAGTAAGTTAATATCACTGTCTGTTTCAAAGAGCTCATGACAGAATCTATTAATGAATTTCATAGTTAATCTGCTAAAGTCAATAAGAGTTAAAGAATATAACTTGATTTTGATCATTGTTAACTGCTTCATGAAGATGACTAGATATATTTCTACTTATAAAAAGGTTAAAGCCTCTGAATTAACTAACCTGTTTTTAGATATCATCATTCATGATCACAGTGCTCTGAAATCATTGATAATAGATCAAGAATCTCTCTTTATCAGTAAATACTGATCAGCTTTTTGCTATTATCTTATAATAAGATGTCTTCTCAGTATCACATTTCATCTGCAGACTGATGATCAGACTGAATATCAGAATCAGACACTAGAACAGCATCTCTGAGTGTTCTGTTCATATTATTAAAATGATTGACTTAAACATCTTCTGATCACTGAATTCACATATAACAATGTAAAGAATACAATCTTAAAGATATCTTCTTTTTATACTTATTATAAATATAATCCTTCATTACTCAGTGATGTTGTGAATAATATTTCAAAGAAGAGAATAGATAGTCAGAATGTCAGACAGATACAGAGAACAAAGTATTTCTCAGTATTAGAAGTAAAAGTGAGATTGAAACTTTTGAACAAAATTTATGAGAAGATGATAAAAAGCATCTGTCATATTCAGAAGCAGCAGATAAAATACTATAATTGAAAACATCTTTCAATGAAGTTCTTGATAGAGAATTAAGTACTACTTTCAGCAAAGAATATCAAGACAATGAGACTGTGTAAAAAGCTCAGTGAGTGATGATTAGAATCTTTTCTGATAACAAGAGTGATAAGTAAGCAGACATATAAGTTGAAATTACTCACAGAATTGAAATCAATTCATTCTGTTTTTCATATTTTCTATTTGAAGCTCTATAAGCAATGCTCTGAGATGAAGCTGTCTCAGCTGAATAATATCAAGATTGAGAGTGATACTGAATATCTTGTGAAGAAAATATTGAACAAGTGAATATATTATAGCAAGCTTTAATATCTCATTAAATAAGAAGATTATTCATTGTCAGAGAATTTGTGAGAATCACTTGAGTATTTGAAAAATACTGAGAAAGAGATTGTAAGCTATGAGATAACTAGTAGAGACTGCTCTATTACATATCAGAGATATTGAGTAAGAAATGCTGCTTGAAGACTTCTTATTTTTCTCAAAGAGTTTTTTAGAGATAATCTTACAGTGATGAGCTGATATCTTATAGACTCTGTAGTACTCTTCTTCTATTTTCTTCTCAAAGAATTTTTTAGAAGTTTAATGAGACTACACAAGTGTAAAATTCCTGAAGCAGTTAAAGAAAAGAGATATTGAAAATTAATAAAAAGATTAATATTAATTAATCTGCAGACTGCTGCTATTTTAATAGAGCTGCAGCTCACTGAAAAAGTAAAAAGAGAGATCAGAGTCTACTCATTAATAATCATATTCTTATCAAACTCATTCTTCACTGTTGAAGTCTTCAGCACTGATATCTTTGTCTGCTGAGAAGTTAGTACTGCAGCACTGCAGAAGAGCAGAAGAAATATATAAAATATTAACTTATTAACTTATAAAGCATCTCAGTTATCTGCTTTAATTGAAGTGAGATTCTCTTCAATCAGTGATTAATCTCTGTGATGCTTTTAACAGCAGTATCAGCTGACTTCTTCTTAAGATCAGTCATTCTGAGATATTTTTTCATCTCAGAGATTCACACTTTCATCTTCTTTTATAGATGAGTAAGAGGGATCTTCTCAGTCTTGACAGAATCTGTCAATACTTGAAGCTCTGAGACTCTCACTCTGTACTGCTTAAGCATCTAGACTTCTTATCAGAGCTGATATGATGTCTTCTTGTAGAGTAGATAATACTTACAGAGAGACAGAAGTTGTTGTTGCAGATATAACAGAAACAATGAGAGTGAGAGAAGAGATAGATGTATAAAATCCCTCTCTTCTTCAGCTGTTTAATACAGTGTAGATAAGTAGCAGTGTCAGTCAGAGACTGCACTGAAGCCTTCTCACAGAGAGAAGACAAAGAAACTGTGAGACTCTGCAGACTCAACTCAGCAGTATTCTGAGCAGAGCTCAGACATGCTGCAGAAGAGAAACTATGAATTAAGCTTCTCAGAGTCACTATCTCTGAAACCAAGCTCTTCTCAGGTTTCTCTTCAAATGATTACACAAAGTCATACATCACTGTATTGACTGAGGAGAGAGGCAGCGTTGCAACAGCAGTGAGAGAGATAGGGAACAGATCAGACACAGATGCATCAGCTGGCAGAAGAGATAACACTTCACTGCAAGACACAGCAACTATCACCACAGCTGCAAGAGAAGCAGAAGAAGATGTGACAATGAGAGTGATACTTTCACAGCTCATTAATACTGCTGCCTTCAACCTGGCTTTCTTGACAGTCACAGAGGCTGCAGCTGCATCATGAAGATGTTTATTACTCACTAGAAAATATCAGAATAAGCTCTCTATTGTCTCTTAAGAATGATGCTCTCATGCACTCACTATTGCAGATGAGAGAGAGGGAGAAAAATGTATCACAGAGAGAGAGATCTTTTCAAAAAAATTCTATCACTACTGTTAGCTTTGTCTCTAAAACACATCACTTTTGCAGAGAATTTCATATATAGAATGAAATATGTTAAAAGATCTGCAAGTCACTTATTAATTATGTTTTTCACATTTCAAATTGATATATAAGGAACCCACTTATCATATATTTGATTTGAATAAAGATGAGAAAAGAAAGATCTACACAGTTAGTAGAAAAACTCATCTTTGTATCACATGCAGCACATACACTGATAATCAGTTAATAACTGTTGCTATACAACAAAGATAATTTCTAATCTGATAATCTTGAGAGTATAGAAACTATACTCTTAAAGAGAAGAATATTATCATACTCTCAGCTGTATCAAGGCCTTATTACAGTTTCACACAGCTTATTACTTTCATGCAGATGATTTCATCTCATCTGAACTGATTTTCAACTGCTTTATGACATCATTTGAATATATCATAGAAAGATCTGATTGATAAGTATGAGAACCCTGCTTCTATATAAGATCAGCAGATTACTCTTTCTTAGTAATGAGATATTACTGAGGTATTGCTTCAGCTATTCTCACTTATGAAATGAGAGAAGAGTATCCACTCATTGTCTATATAGAATAGCTAGATGCTGACTTTTTATCAAAGAAGTCAGTGATTCATTTTACTTCTACTGAAATATATACAAGAGTTACTGTGTGTCTTATATAATCTTCTTAGTATACTAAGTATCATATCTGTGATATTCTCACAATAACTCTGTAGCCTATGAGCTCGCTATTCAAGCAAGATAGTCAAGCTCACTCATACAGCTTCTCAAAACAACTATCTCTATATGACACTGCTGACTAGTCACTGCTTTGATTCCGCCACGTTACACACTCTATCTACTCTAGACTGATCATGTGACTGTGTCTGAGATCAGAATCAGATTTTTTAATAGTCTTATTATCAATTCAACTGATCTTATTACATAGTTTTAACATTAGATAGTAGTCTTATACTGTCTCAGTGAGACTTACTATCTACTCTTATCACATTTTTCAAATAAGATCATGATTTTCACTTCTCAATTTAAATTATTTTTATTGCTTTAAATGACTTTAAATCTTATTTAAGTGTTATCAAAAAGTGTTACTTTTTAAAAAATTAAAAATAGTCTAAAAAAAACCTTAAAATGTCTAAAAATAGTAACTTCATATCAAGAATGAGACTAAATGAAATTAAATGAGATCACTTTCTTATTTTTTTCAAGTTATGATCTTATTTTAAAATCTGATATATAGTCACTTTGCATGTTTTTTTGATAGTCAGTCTCAGCAGGATTCACACTAAGAAATGTATGAGATTAAATCAAATGAGACTAAATATGAAATTCATGATCTCAGCAGCTAGTTTAATCTACTCTCTATTATTATTATCATCTCTAACATCTTATAGTACTCTCTATTACTTTCACTTTATATCTCTACTTTTATCTTATTACTCACTCTTATTATCTCTATTACTTCTATCACTTCTATCACTTCTATTATCTCTATCTATCACTTCTATTATCTCTACTATCTTTATCATCACTGTCTCTATTATCTTATAGCTCTCTCTATCACTTTCACTTCATATCTCTACTCTACTCTTATCTTATTAGACTGACCGTGTGACCGTGTCTGAAATCAGAACTAGATTTTTTGATAATCTTATTATCAATTCAACTGATCTCATTACACAGTTTTAATATTAGATAGTAGTCTCATACTGTCTCAGTAAGACTTACTGTCTACTCTTATTATATTTTTCAAATGAGATCATGATTTCTACTTCTCAATTTAAATTATTTTTATTGCTTTAAATGACTTTAAATCTCATTTGAGTGTTATCAAAAAGTGTTACTTTTTAAAAAATTAAAAATAGTCTAAAAAAAACCTTAAAATGTCTAAAAATAGTAACTTTATGTTAAGAATGAGGCTAAATGAAATCAAATAAAATCACTTTCTTATTTTTTTCAAGTCATGATTTCATTTTAAGATCTGATATATAGTTACTTTACATGTTTTTTAAATAGTTAGTCTCAGTAGAATTCACATCAAGAAATGTATAAGATCAGATTAAATAAAATTAAATATGAAATACATGATTCTGATAATCAGTCTATATCTTATCACTCACTCTTTTATTATCTCTATTATCTCTATTATTTCTACACTTCTTTCACTCTGATCTTCTCTTATCACTTCTTATTACTTCTTATTATCTTTATCATCTCTATCACTTCTATTATCATCACTGTCTCTACTGTCTCATAGTACTCTCTATTACTTTCACTCTCTATCTCTACTTTTATCTTATTATTCTATCTTTTTCTTATCATCTCTATTATCTCTCTCATTTCTATCATCTCTATCACTTCTCTCTATTATCTTTTTCACTCTCTAGTCTTTCTATTATCATTATTATCTCTACTACTTTACAGTCTCTTCTATCACTTTTACTATCTTTACTTCTCTCTTACTATCTCTATCATATTTTAATCTCTGTGTTTATAGTATATACTGTTAAATACTCTGTAATAAAATCTTATATAATATTATATACATCTCTTTAAATTTATAAATGAGATTGAATAGCTGACTCTGCAGTCTATACAGCTCTGATTAATCTGATATAGACTGACTGTCAGAATTATAAATTTTATATTTAGTTTTATTTAATCTGATCTTATACATTTCTTGATGTGAATTCTGCTGAGACTGACTATTAAAAAAATATGTAAAGTGACTATATATCAGATCTTAAAATGAAATCATAACTTGAAAAAAATAAGAAAGTAATCTCATTTAATCTCATTTAGTCTCATTCTTGACATAAAGTTACTATTTTTAGATATTTTAAGGTTTTTTTAGACTCTTTTTAATTTTTTAAAAAGTAATACTTTTTGATAACACTTAAATGAGATTTAAAGTCATTTAAAGTAATAAAAATAATTTAAATTGAGAAGTGAAAATCATAATCTTATTTGAAAAATGTAATAAAAGTAGACAGTAAGTCTCACTGAGACAGTATAAGACTACTATTTAATATTAAAACTATGTAATAGAATGAGTTGAATTAATAATAAGACTATTAAAAAATCTGATTCTGATCTCAGACACAGTTACACAATCAGTCTAATCTGATAATAATAATAGAGATGATACAGAGTGAAAGAGAGTAGTAGAAGAAGTAGAGATAATAATAATAATAATAATAAGAGAGTAGAGAGTGAAAGAGATGAAAAGAGTGATAATAGTAAGTAAAGATAGAGAATAAAAGTAATAAAGAAGATTGTGAGATAATAGAGATAATAATAATAATAGAGAGAAATTGCGAAGCGGTAGAGATAATAATAATAATAGAGAAGGTAGAGAGTGAAAGAGATAAAAGAGGTAAAAGAAGTGAAAGAAGTAAAAGAAATGATAAGAGATAATAAGAGAGAGATAGAGAGTAATCTGAAAGAAGAGTGAAAGTAATAGAGAGATAACAGAGTAGTAGAGACAGTGATAATAATAGAGAGAGTAGAGAGTAAAAGAGATGAAAGAAGTGAAAGAGATGAAAGAGATGAAAGAGATGATAAGAGATAATAAGAGAGAAGTAAAGAGTGATTCAAAGAAAGAGTGAAAGTGATAGAGAGGCAGTGAGATGATAGAGACAGTGATGATAATAGAGAGAGTGAAGAGTAAGAGATGAAAGAGATAGAAGAGATAATAGAGATAATACAGAGTGATACAGAGTGAAAGAGAGTAATAGAGAGAGAGAGTGATAAAAGCAGTAGAGAGAGTAATGATAGAGATGATAGAAGTAATAGAGATAGAGATAATAGAGATAGTAGAAGTGATAGAAGTAATAGAGATGATAGAGGTAATAATAATGATAGAGAGAGTAGAGAGTAACAGGTGAAAGAAGTGATAAAGAAGAGATAGAGAGTGATTAAAGAGAAGAGTGAAAGTGATAGAGAGAGCTGCGTAAGCAGAAAAGTGAGCGTAAGTGAGCATTTGATACTTGTTATTTATTATAGAAAAATCAACTTTTCTATGTAAAAAACATTGTAATGTGACATTATATACATTCTATTAAAAATATTTTAAATACTCTGATTTATACAGCTCAGATTAATCTTTAAATCTTTTTTTTTTAATCTACTCTTTTTATACATTCTCTACAGTATTTACATTTCTTATACTTTTTTCTAAATCTGATAATAGTAATAGAGATAATATAGAGTAAAAGAGAGTAATAGAAAGAGAGAGTAATAGAGATAGTAAAGAAATTAAAGAGTAAAAGAAGTGAAAGAAGTAAAAAAGATAATAGATTATTATTATTATTATTATTCTTTTATTATACTTATATATAAGCAGAGCTTATAATGAGTTTTTACATAATATTAAATACAGATTAAGTGTTAATTATACAGAAGAAAATACAGGTATTGAGATTATATTAAGATAATAAGAAAATACAAAAATACAAAAAAGTAATAATTAAATACATGTAATAATACCTTCTCAGCTTAGAAACATAGAGTGATTTATTAAAGTAATTTACAGATACTTAATGTAAGAGGC